ATAGATGGATACATAGATAGATAGATAGATAGATGGATACATAGATACACAGATAGATAGATAGATAGCAGGGTCTGTGGGTGCTGCTGGAGCAACTGGTGGCCGGTCTTGCGTAATAAATGTAGCCCTTTGTAAAATTCATCATTAACACGTGAGTAAAGCCCGTGTTTTGCACTGATCTGATACACTGCTGTGTACACTTCAGATTTCTCAACATGTATCTTTCTGTTCCCGTGTTTTGCCTGCTCCTGGTGCATTCCAGAAACCAAGTAACAAAGATGATAGCTGAAGCAGAACGTGCTTTTCAGTTGGTATCAAATTCAGCCCAAGTCTTGAGGCAGAAAACTGTCTCTGTGGGCTGATCTAAGAACTAAGGAATATGAAAGGACTTGGTGGTTTTCCCCTTTCACCAGAAATGACCTCATATAATATCCCCTTATTGGTGCAAAACAGGAAAGGGCAGAACTAGACACAGACACAGTCCCTGCTGCTCACAGAGCTGCTTCCAGCATACCGGAGCTGAGGAATCTACCAGGAGGAGGGATGGATGCTGGTGCCACCACAGCTTGTCTGACAGATGGCAAAGGAATAACCTGCCATCAGGGTGTCTCTCTCTGTATTCCTGCCAAAAGCACAGATGACATTTCCTAGTTCGTTTTAACGTGAGCTCTGCTTGAAATTTTCTGTTCCTCTCATCATCTGCACTGCTGTAGTCTACTTCAGCAAGCAAGCTGAGCTACTCTGAGTGTCAGAACTGCTGCTGGTTTTGTGTTTAAAGGTGGGAGAAGGAAGTGGTTTTGAGCTTTCACACAGAAACTGATGCACTGACACACCACCGTTCACTGTGCTTGGTGTTTATATACAGTGGCGTAAATGAGCCTTCAAAAACACAGGTCAACTCCATCATCACAAAACACAATCATCATTTAATTGCAGTGGTGAATCACCTACTCATAAAAACCCCCAGATTAAATTGTAAGCACTGAGAGAGCTCAAGATCTGCGTTAAGACACGTTGGGAACTCATTGCAAGCCAGCAGGAGAAACGTGACAAACATCTGCACTGTATGAAACCAGTTAAATGTCTGCTCACATGTTTCGCTGGTGAGTAACTGGGAGCTCATTCTCTTGTTCCTACTTAAAGTGCCAAGACTTTTCTTTCTTTAGACTGCATTTCAGTGCAGGAAGACACTGGCCTTGCATTTGTGGGGGAACAGATCACAGTGTTCCCTTAGGTGCCTCAGATTTTATTGGGATGCGCTGCAGTCGCTCAGACTTTGAAACGGAATTTAATTCATAGTCAAGCATCTCTGTGCTGCATGTGAGATGCTTAAAAAAACACACACAAACCCAACCAAAGCCAAGAAAAGTCACTTATTTTTAGTTCTGCATTGGATAGCTGGGATTTGCCAACAGGCAGTGGGAAAATGCCTTGAGCTGGTGACAATTCCTCATTTAGGTCTTGAGAATGCTCCTGCTGTTGCATTCACTTTACACACTGTCAGAGCAGTCACTTCTAAACACTGTTTTGTTTCATGCAAGAGGTAAATTCTGACCCGAGAGCCAAAGGAGTTGCTTTATACATATTTGAATTATTACTGCCTACAGACAAACTGCCTGTAAAAGTCATTTGATACCTTCTAGTCACAGGACTGCAACGAGAGCAGAGCACAGAAGCAGAGACACTACCTGCTCCATTTTACTGCTCCATTTTAAGTCCATAAAGTAAATCTTACTCCTAAATGACATATTTCTTGCAAAGATAAATCTAGCTGTGAGATCCTCACCAAGAGCTTGTTGGCAGCAGTGGTCAGTCACGGGTGCTTCTCAGAGCTCTGAACTCTCATTTCTTTGCTCCAGTGCTTTCATCACATTTACTGTCAGCCAATTTGCTATAAATTCTACCCAGTTGCTACACAATAGCACGTGAAGTGTTTTAATGCCACGCCGAACCCAATTTGTTTGGCTCCGCAGTGATTTCATGCTGTTGATTTTACCTCTCTCTTGTTCTCTGAGGACTCTTTTCATCATGAGCTCTTTTGAAGACGCCGAGACGGAAGAAACGGTGACGTGCCTCCACATGACCTTTTACCACCCTTGCCAAGAGGAGAAGATGATGTTCCGCTGCCTGAACTTCTGCAAGCGAGAGCAGGTCAGGGCGGACGACACGGCCAAGTTCGGCCGCGATTCCAACGTCTGCCGTTACAACCTGATGGACGCCCGTGTCTCCCGGATCCAGTTTTCCCTGCAGTTCTACAGGAAGCTCCACAGCTCCCAATACTGCTTCGAGATCAAGAACTTGAGCAAGAGGACAAAACTGACCGTGAACCAGACGGAACTGGGCTACCTGAACAAAATCGACCTGCCCTGGAGGTGCATCATTTCTTTTGGGGACTACCAGATCTTGGCAGAGATCCAAGAAGGGGAGTCCGTGGATTATTTTGAGACTCACCTGCACTTGGCCGAAGCGCCAATCTTACAGGAAAGATCCCTGCCATCCCTGCAGCCGACACCCGAGAGTGGCATTTCTTCTTCCATTTTTCTTTGCCAAGACAAAAGCCCCACAGAGATGGATGAAAACGAGCCGTGCTAGCAGGGAGGAGGAGGCTGGATCAGATTTTGCAGCCTGCACAGCTTCCAGCACGGAAGGCTGTCACCTCAGTCCAGTGGTTCTTGGTGGTTCTCACCCCTGCACATCAGTCTTACTTGGTGTTTTCAGCACGGGCATTCCAGAACGTGCTTTGTTCCAGACAAGAACAGATTCTTGGCAGTGCTTTCACAGGGGCAGAAGTGCTCTCTGATCATCAGTTTGCCTGTGGGAGACAGGGGGCCACTCAAATCCATGGCAGCAGGTTCCATTCCAGAACTGTGACCACGTGCCTTGAGGGGATGTTTAACAGGCATTATTAACACAGAGCATGCACAACATGGTTTTGGTCCCAGCTAAGGAGGGACATAATTCCTCACTGCATTTGTTGTACTTTGTGCTTTGCTTTTGACATGGAATTCCAAACAGTATTTGCAAGCCTAGGTTGTAACTTCATGAATTTTGCAACCAGGAAACATTTTGTCAGCAAAGTCCTTTTGAGTTTATGTTTTTATTAACTTCACAGCAAGATTTTTTCCTCTCTTGTTTTTTAAAATGAAATCAAATCTGTGTTTCTTGCAAGTTAACTGCTTTTGCTTGTGATATAAACAAACATGCAGCGTCAGTGATCACAGTACATAAAAACCCAGATAAATTTCTTAATAAAAAGCATTTGGTTGCCTAGTAAGGATTTGCTGTATTTTACAACTATGATCTAAAAGGAATTTATGGGGAGTAAAATTATTTCCACGTAAGAAATTTTCACTGGCACTGTTCTGGGCTTTCCATAAGTGCCATTGCACCAAGGTAAGAGTCACTAGTTTCCTACCTCTGCTACATCACACCCCAAATATTCTAAGTATTTTTCATATTGTTTCAGTGAAGTTTTGCTTTATTAGGGGCTCAGCTTTTCACTGGCACTTTTCCCCCCCCCCCTCCAAGTATTTTAGTTTGCTTGAAAGACACACTGGAAAGAATCAGATCATACATGGGAGTTACCCATCTTATCATCCCTAAATATTAGGATGCATTCCAGCATTAATCATTCCAAGAAAACCATAATTATAGCTGAGAGGAGGAACAGCTGAGATTAAGGCAACCAACCACAAGCGAGAAAAAGTTTATGGGAGAGGCAACGAAACTCAAACACAGGCTTATGTAGGATTTGCCTGTTCATCTCATCCTTGCCAAAAAATACCTTGTTCCCATCTTTTCCACTCTTGGAACTAGGCTGTGGTCATGCTTAATTTTTACAGTCCTCCTTTTGCACTTCTCTGGGCTTAAAAGACAGGCTGCTCATAGTATCATTAAGTGGTGTTATCCAGTTTCTGTTCACTGGCTCTGTCACACAGGACATCAACCCGTGGCACTGGTCATATTAATTGCTTACCATTTTTGGGCTGTTACCTAAACAAGAAGTGACAAGCCCAACCTGAAATTCTCAAGGCAATATATAAACAGAAGCATTTATAAACAGCACTTAACCTGAGAAGAATCTTCTGTCTGGTCTGCACAGTTCAGAGCCCTGAGCCTCAGCAGATTTGGAGCCAGAGCAGAGCATTCCTTAGGCACATCTCCAGGAACCAGGAGCACACCTTTGGCATGGAAACAAACCCCCAACAAATTACTGGTTTCCAAGCAACAATCATTTCTACAACTATATTTACTTTGGGGTAAGAACATCTAAAACATGCATTAAAAAATGAATCCTATCACTATGTTGATTTGACCAGCAGAAGTTATTTTAAACAAGGAGTGTTATTTTACCTTTGAAGTATGAGGGTACAGCTGCTCATTTCCAACAGGAGAAGGGCTCCACGCTCCAAAATTCCTCAGGTTCTCCAGAATTTCTCAGGTTACTGCCACTTTTTTGGAGCTTCCCTTCCAAAACAGTGGGTCTCCAGAAGGGATGCTGTGGGATTCAGGAGTTAAGGACACAGCCAATCATTTCTTAAAACCTTCCTTAGCAAGCTGATGCACAGGTAATTTTGGGTAACGTTTTAACAATTCGCCTTCACGTGGTGCTTTTTTTTCTTTTTTTTTTGGCAGCCCAAAAATCCAGCAACAGACAGCGCACACTGCCAAACATTTAAGACTGAGTGAAAATTTTAATGACTTTTAAATTTGTACAGATATGCACTCTACAGTGAGCTGTTCATAGAATCTCTCGATTTCTTAAATATCCACAAATACCGAGCGTCATTTCCAAAGTCGCTCAGCACCAAAGGTGCACTGAGCTCTGAAAATTATTATTATTAACCCTGGCTGCAGAACGTGCCCATCTTCCTTTTTCATAGGTCACTGTTCATCCAAGAGCAGGACTGTCAGCTAATGGACTTCCTCAAGGCATGGGCAGGACGAGGCTCGTGGTCACTCATGGCCAGGGAAAGGAGTGACCAGTGCAGGGGAGGCGACAGCTTCAGCAGGTAAAAAAAAAAAGTGTTATGTACATGTTGAGGAAGTTGCCTTCGTTCCCAGCAGGAATATATTATACAAATAATTGTCCAGGAGAAGTCACACAGGCAGTAGCTTAGGCCAAACCCAAAATATACAGTTGGTGTGTACAAACTTTTAAAGCTCCTTACAGGCATTGCAAATGTAAATAACAACATTAAAGTGTTTTCAGAGACATGGCTACAAACTGAAATCAAGAGGTGGAATGTCACCAGCAGGATTTATCTGTTCTTTCATGTTGTTTGTATGTATTTAATCCAAGTATGCAGTTCCCTATCCACACTGTAATGTCCCAAATATTCTGTGTAGTCTCAGATCTTTCACAACTTTCACCAACAAATTCAGTTATGATGATGATGATGGTGGTGGTTTATTACTTCTCACAGCGTGTTCCTTCTGCTCCACCACGGTGAAGTTACACCCCCATTGCCCTCTTTTTCTCCATGGAAAAACAAAACAGCTACACGAAATAACAGCAGAGTAGAATGGCTTTACTTTGAAACTTGAAACTTTGGGGAAAGCTTGAGATCTACAAGTCATCTTTTTTTTTTTAAAAGTATAACTTACATGAAATATCAGGGGAGACCACACAGCACTTGACACCAGATGTGCAGTCACTGAAACCTCCTTGAATTTCAGCCCGTATTTGCAGGATTGACCATCCAGTTTAGAGGCACAGGAAAGGCAGAGCGCTTAAACACACCGTTAAAACATCAACTTTTTTCCCTTTCTTTTTAAAATGCAGAGATAGAAATTCAGTCTTTAGGTCCTCGTTCTTCTCGTCCCTCCCCCCAGTTTGCTCACAGAGTGTTGATTCCAGTAATTATTCCAGTCCAGTTGAATTATAAATTTTCCACAACTAAAGAATTTTAAGGACCCTGCAGCAACAGATATTGGTCTGCAGGGGAGGGGCAGGGAAATCAAGACTTTGGTCCTCCCAGTTCTCTACTAGATACTGGTTAAAATTGCCAGTTTATTGACACATGAAGAATTTATATTTTAATTTTATTTTCTTTTTTCTATCTAGCACACAGCTTACTAAGTCTGGCATATTATACAAGACAATATCTTACCTACCCTGATGATTTTTACCATGTTCATTGAGGTTAACCGTGCTTAGCATAAAATAATTAAAAAAAAAAAAATTAATGGGAAAAGGACAACACAAGGCTAGGAAGACTTTTAAGCTTGACAGGGAGAAGTCTGCAAATTGCCATGTGTCAAATTTGTTTTGTAGCTCCCTCTAAAATAGCTGAAGAGCAAGTCAAAAAGCACAGACTGGAAATAAAAATTTTTTTTAAATTCTTTTTCTATATTCAAGTATTACATAAATTATATAAGACTTTCTGACATAAATATTAGGCCAATGATGAATTTTAAAAACAAAAATCAGTATAAACACCGAGAGGAAAAAAAAAAGGCAAGTTAAAATATATAGATATGTCAAGCCATGAAGCTTCAATTAGTGCAGATAATTTTATATTAAATCCAGATATACACAACAGAACCATCCCAGTTTTCACAAAAGTCGAGAAGGTAGATGATAAAAATTGCACTTAATTCTGAACTCATTCAGACAGCAAGTCATTCCCGTTCCTTGCCGATCCAGAAAAAGGGAAGCGGGTTACAAAAAGAGCAAAGTGGCTTTGTACATTCCATTTCCCTTTCCCAACATTTGGTCACAAACAGCAGAGTGGCAGCGTCACTATCTGTCCTGGGGGTCGGAATCCGAGAGCCTCACATCCGAGGCCGACAATTCCAGGACGGGATTGACGAAGCCGGCGTACTCGGAATTGCCGTTATCGTCCATCTCGGCGCTGACAAAGTCGTTCTCCCACTCCAAGCCGTTGGAATCGTCGGAGGCCGAGGCTGGGTGGCTCCCTGTCTTCCTGCTGTTGAATTTCAGGGCTGCCCTGAGGATGTCTTCCTCCGTTTTGGAGCGTTCCCTCATCGGGATCATCCTGTTCATCCCTGGGAATTTAAGACACATTTGCGAGAAACATGATTTTTAGGGAATTACCTTTATGTTCCTGCTCGAAAAAAACACGGCTAAAATTTGGATTCATCGGTCTAGGAAAGGTCTTCAGTTTATCTGGAATTTATTTCGGATGTGTGTGAATTTAATTTCACACAAAATAAGGCAAAATGTTGCTCTGAGTAGTGCCCAAAGACATCCAAGATTCCATTAAAAAGCACTATAAATCCTCCCCTTATTCACTGCAATCCTTGTACATTCCCTAAATAAACTCCCCTTTTAAATCTGGAGTAACTAATTATTATTAAAAAGTTACATATTGCAACTGAAACCCACAACTTTTTGGGAGGGCACAGGAAAAAAATATCTAAGAGATAAATTTTTCCCTTCATCAGACTCCAATTACAGATTTTATGTTCATGTTCCAAGCAGCTAAATAATAGTATAATATACAGTGCTAAACATTCAACCTACACAAAGATTGTCAGAAACAGTGTATTAAAGCAAAAAAAAAAATAAATCAGTTGTGCAGTGGCTAAAAGAAATCCTGATTTTTGGTGAGCTTTTCAGGAGTCAAGGTCTCGAAATTTTGGATAAACTTGGGAATACGACAAGAGCTTTTGCTTTTACTAAATAAAACAGAAAGTATCTGTAACACGCAGCAGCAGCAATGAGGACAGCTGGGATATTCACTGGAATATAGATCTAAATTCCCAGTAAAAGTTACAGGAAAAGTAATTAGGGTTTTTCCCAAAATAGTCCAGCCAAGACTCCTGACCAACTTCCACATTTGAAAAGGAAGAACAAGCTGTTCCTTCTGCTCCTGGCTCGCCAGAGGGCAGCATTTCTCTGCCATTTGTTTTGTTGGGATACTGAAGGACCCAAAATAAATTCATTCATTTATCGGGGCTACATCCACATCTATCAAAACAAGGAATTCTCTCTGTAAAAATAATCTACAGTTTAACCATTCCAGACTCGGCCAGAAATTGCATTAAGTTTTAAATCACCCTCTGACACATTTACAATCGACACAGTTTAAACTGTCAACGTTTGTAACTTATACATTCAGAATGAAACTGAAGTCCTAAATACCTTCTTCATCTTCCCACTCTAAATCTAACGAGGTGCTGTCGTCGTTCCCACTCACTGACTTGGTTTTGGTCATTAAGTCACAGCTGCTCTCTGTGTTGGGTGTCAGCACTGTGGCATCAGATGAAAGCCCTAAATAAAACAAATAAAAATGTCTTTTTAATTCATGATCCTACTCGAATTCAAGGTTCAATATGCAAAAGTAAACCATTAAATTAAGCTTTTTATTGTGCTTTGTGGCCCTTTAAACCTCGGG